CCACCTGCTATACCGCCCAGTCTGACCATCAAGAAAGCTTCCCCCGCCTGCTATACCGCCCAGTCTGACCATCAAGAAAGCTTCCCCCGCCTGCTATACCGCCCAGTCTGACCATCAAGAAAAGCTTCCCCCGCCTGCTATACCGCCCAGTCTGACCATCAAGAAAGCTTCCCCCACCTGCTATACCGCCCAGTCTGACCATCAAGAAAGCTTCCCCCACCTGCTATACCGCCCAGTCTGACCATCAAGAAAGCTTCCCCCACCTGATAGTCCTTGTGGAGCACCACGGTGTGGGTTAGACTCTTGTCAAGGCAAAGTGTCGCAAGCTTCCTGCAGGCTCTCTTGACACTGAGGACGAGGTCTGTGCTAGGGACATAGCTTAGGATATGCAGAAGAATCTCGTCGGAGAACCCCATCAGGTCGATGACATGGCAGTCCTCCCCGCTCTCCTGGCCCAGGATGTCCTGAAAGGAAAAAGGGGCAACTTGACTTGGAAACACCTGGCGGAGTCAGAGAAGAGAGGGGACAGACCCCGTTCGACCGCAAGGAGTGGGCGTACGGCTCCCCCGGCACCGAGCTGCGCGCTCCAGCTGTCTGCAGAGTTACGCTTCCCTCTAGATCAGCGGTTCCCAAACCGCCGTACGCGGACAACCTCTCAGTGACGCGTGTTAACAGATTTATTATCCTTTCTTTATAGGGCAGTAATTTGGGGGGGTACTTAAGGTGGTATCGTTTTAAATCGGCGCCGCGCAACCCGCCAGAGTTCGGGAATCGCTGCCCGAGATGGGGTGCTGCCTCTCCCCCTCGTCAGCACCCGGTCTCCCCCTCGCCAAATTCAATCCACAAGTTTCGACTTAAAAATAAGGGGAACGCTCTTTATGTTGCTTGCTCGAGAGCTCGCCGCCGCTTCAGAAAGAGCCTCCCCTCACCTGCGCGCCCCTGCCCCAGAGGCTGCAGCCTCTCCACCAGCCATCCATTTCCAAGGGCCAAGATTTCACCCGCCCGCTCTCGATTACACCTTCAACAGACCTTTTGTCTACCCCAACCCCTGGGACAGGCGCCCCTCGCCCTCGCCCCCTGGGCCAGGCCCCTGGTCTGAGGGGGAGAACCGACCCAGGGGTGCGGGGGCCCCACGTTACCTCCCTGGGGCGGGACATGGCCCCCGCGGCCGCGCTCCGAGGCCGCTTGAACCAGCCGCGTCCCCGGCCGGTCGCACTCCCAGCCGGCTCAGGGCCCACGCCGCGCATCCGGCGCTCCTCTGACCTCACTTCCGGCGCCATCTTGAGGGAGGTGCGCGGTGGCCATGTTGGGAGGGGCACGCGTGCTCCTGGGCGGGTGCCGCCATGTTGGGAGGGGCACACGCGCTGCTGGACGGGCGGCGCCATCTTGGGCGCGGCGAGCAGGCGCCATCTTGGGTGTGGCCGGGGGCTCCACTGCACAAAGCCAGCTGCAGACTAGCTAGGACAGCCCCTGGCTGTGTAGCCAGGGTCACTGTCATCCTGTGATGCAGATGTGGCCAGTCTCCACGTATTTGCCAGTTCATTGCATAATAGATGTAACACGTCCTCCTTCCTCGCCCCCCATGTCATCTCAGGGCTGGGGGTCACGAGGCTGGGAACGGCCAACGAGCAACACCACGGCTGCATTGTCCCGGGACTCCTGGAGCTGGGGCTTTACCAAGGGGGATGCCAGCCGATTCCCGGCAGCTCTCCGGCCTCTCCCATGTGTCCCCATCTCCTATATAACGCGGCGTCTTGCTGGCATCACTGAAACCCCGGGGCTGGGGGGGGCGAGAAGCCGCTGCCCACCCCGCAGCACGACACCTGCTCCGTCTCGGGGGGCCGCGTGGTCCTGACTCCTCCGAACCCGCTAGTGTTGCCAGAGGACCGCCGAAGGCTTTGCTGAGGACCTCCATGCCGTGCTTTCCCAAAGCGCTCAGATCCTTCCCACCAGTGTGTGCTTTTGGGATATCGTAGAAACGAAGGGCTGGAAGGGACCTCGAAAGATCGTGCAGTCCAACCCCGCTGCTCTGGGCAGGAAGACTGCGGAGATGAAACAACCCCAGCTGCCCGGTGTCTGCGCAGCCTCCTCTCGGAGACGTCCAAGGTTGGGGACTGCACCACCTCCTTGGGAAGTCTCTTCCAGATTGTTTGTGGGAAGGAGCACGAAGGCCTCCCCGCTCCTGTGTCTCCTTCCAGCCCCAACAAAGAGGCTTGCAAAGGGGCAAGCCTCAGCGCAGCTGCCTGGTAGGGATGCACCCGGAGGCACTGTGCATGGCATGCTGCCACGTCTTAACAGCGATCAGGTCACTTGCAGTGGCCATAAGCTTCTTGCGGTCTTAGCTAATGCATCTTCTAGCTCTGGCGGTGGAGGCATTGCTCTGATACATGCAGGGTTCAATGGCACTGCCGATGACTGGCCCCAGGTTAAAGCTCCAAGCAGCATCTTTTCTCATCAGCGCGAGGGTGAGCTCTGCTGAGTGAGGAAGCTGCCTGGGCTGGGTGTACACTTTGGAGAATAAAAGCTTCCTCGGAGGAGACCTGCAAAGGGCACAGAATAAAGCACTGCCCTCTTCTTGTTCCTTGTCTTACCTGATTTTACGGACCGCATCCCTGGAAGGACCCAGAGATGTGGACTGGGAGCTCTCTCCTCCCTGGACTAAGAAAAGGTGGAGTTTGGATCTTTAATCTCACTGGTTGCCAAGTGTTTTGAGTTAGAGGCCAACAAGAGCAAACCAAAAGGACATTTTGATAATCTGAATTTAAAAGGTTACGTATACCTCGGGCAGGTCTGATCTGCCTGATAGCTGCGATCTGTAATGTTGTAGACAACACGTGTCTTTCCAATGGGGAACACAGTAAATAAATCAATTGGCAGGGCCAGCGTGATAGGAGAAACAGCCCTGCCTCAGAGCAAGGGCAGGTAGGCTGTGAGGGATGTACAAGTAATTGGTGTAAGAACAGTAAAGGTTTTGGGTACAATCTGGGCAGCCTGGAGGCTGCTCTACATTACAGCAGTCTCCCTGGTAGTATGCATGCTATGAAAGGCAAAATAACCATGGAGGTGAGACAGGTGCTTTAAACCAGCCCTTAACCCCCAGGCAGAGCCAACACAGCAGAGCGAGTCAAAACACAATTCTTCCTCTGGTGACTGCAGAGTGCAAGCTCTTTGCAAGAAACCAAAATCACCAGCAGCTTCAATAACAGACCTGTTTTTTCTGAATATCTCCAACCTATTTCAACAACCGAATCCCAGTATAACCCTTTTCCCTAGAGAAAGCATGTAATACATTGACACCATGGGAGACCTTAGCTTGCTTGCTTGCTTGCTTGAATATATACCTGCAAACATCAACTCTGCACCTTCATGGGTGACAGACAACTTCCAAAGGAACAACTAACAAGCATCGCCTCACCTTTAGTGGCCAGACTTTGTCAAGGAAGCTTATAAAGCAATGCGTAACAGCAACCCAGTAGTATCATAGGGTTGGAAGATGAGTGGAAAAGGAGGTGATGATCCATTGTCTCCCAAGAGAAACACAAGTCTCCTCTACCAAGGACACCATTAATCTGTGTTGGTAGCTTCATTCCATAAACTGATCAGAGAGGTGACTTTCTAGCCCACCGGGCAGTTGCAGGTGAATTACTAGAGTCTGTCTCTACCACTAGAATAAATCGGGCACTCTTAGGAGACAAAAAAACCCTGATGAATTCACGCCTAATTAATCCCTTTCTGTCATCCCATGAAGTGTGGCATTACCGTAGTAGGGAACATGAGTGAAGACTAGGTGGAGAGGGACCAAGCCCATATCACAGTGTCCCAAAGATGATGGCAGAAGAGAAGCAAAGACATATGGGCATCCTCAGGCCTTTCAGAAACAGAAAGGTCTCCTAAACCGTGCCTGTGGGTGGAACGAAAGCACAAGCTCCCCTAATACCAGCCTGGTCATCAGAAATGGGTGAGAAGCAATCCCACACCCACAGCCTTTGACCAGGGAGTCATCTGGCTTCTAGCTCGTGGGTGTGCCGGGAGAATCCCATCGCTGTTATCTGATTTAGGTTCAACATCAGCAAGAACGTCTTCACGGTAAGGGTGGCCAGAGTCTGGAATGGGCTCCAAGGGAGGTGGTGCTGTCCCCTACCTTGGGGGTCTCCAAGAGGAGGCTGGACATGCACCTGGCTGGGGTCATTTAACCCCAGCACTCTTTCCTGCCCAGGGCAGAGGGTCAGACTCGATCTACTGAGGTCTCTTCCGACCCCAGCATCTATGAATCTGATGGACACCAGCTCACGGATCAGTGCCAGGTTCGGGACCCGGCGGCACTTGGTGTCAAACAGAGAGCAGATGCGGGAACAAGGGAAACCTGCATCTGGGATGCTGAGGGACTCGGCCAAAACACCAGTGCTCTGGATGAATAAACATCCTGTTCGGAGGGCTGAGGCCCTGCCAGCCACCGCGGAGGAGCTCATGCTGTGATGCACGTTGACACTGTGCCTTTCCATAGCCTCTTTCTTCTCGGGCTCTGAAAGGACTTTACCAAGCTGCATGTTTTACAGGGCCACAGGGCGACTATGAACAT